GGGGGGGAATGCCTGAGCATCTGACCTCCCCCCACAAGTGGTGATACTGGGAGGGTGGGGTGGAAAGGAGGAACCGTTTACAGGGATCTACACATAACCTCCTCTCTGGGGGCTGGACAACAGAAAATAGGTGAAGGGAGACGTCGGACAGTGTAAGATATGACAAAATAATAATTTATAAATTATTCAGGATTCATGAGGGAGGGGGCAGCGGGGAGGGAGGGCAAAAAATGAGCTGATGCCAGGGGCCTAAGTGGAGAGCAAATGTTTTGAGAATGATGAGGGTAATGAATGTACAAATGTGCTTTATACAATTGATGCATGTATGGTTTGGGATAAGAGTTGTATGAGCCCCCAATAAAATGATTTTAAAAATCAGTTACATTCCAATCATATTTTAGCACTAATTGATAATTCCAAAATCTTGATCTTTTAGCAAAAGAACAGTCTGTAGTAATAGTCCAGTAGTAATAGTCCAGTCACTATTGTATAAAATGTTCAGTTATGATAAAATCCCAGAGTATCCCTTTGACAGCATCAGCAATGGGAGAAATATCTCAGTAGGCAGCGATCGACATTCTCCGGAATCTATGAGGTCTCCTTGACGTTTTGGATAACTTCAGTAACAGGACAGGGAAGGTCAGGTCACCCATCACCTTCCCTCCTTTCTTCTGGGCTTTGCCGGCTGAAGAGAAATCCACCTATCTCTTTTGCCTGTGAAAACATAAACAAATAGCCTCTTCCTTCGGGGTGTCAGCAACCAGAAAACAGACCCATGGTTACGAGTGGGTTGTTTCTGCATCTCTTCCGTGTGCTTCCTCTTTCTCCAAACGTGGTTGCGTCCTTCTAAGCGGGGTCCATCAGCTTTATTCTGCAAAAACATAAATGTGGGGCCCTTTCTCCAGGGGATAAATGGACCTGGATCCCAAACACGATCCCCGTCTTCTTGGGACTTCGTAGGACAGCTTTTTCTGTAGAAGTGAAACTATGTTTACCTGCCCTAATTTTGTTACTAGCTTTTAGTAAGGAGAAAAATTTGGGGGTTAAAAGGGGTGACTAAATGAACTTTGTCACACATAGGATTCCTCTTCTCCCCCTTCTGTTTTGACAATGCAGATTTTAAAGCACTGCTGGCAATCTCAGTTAACTTGCTAGGTTTTGAAACAATATAACTCATTAGCTCCATTCTCTATTTCCCTGCCGGGAAACATTTGCTAATGACAATCCTTTATTGCTGAATCTTGAGCGACATTGACTCTCCCTATGCGTTCCTTTCCTACAGCAGGTGCAAAGCCTGGATACTTTTAAACCCGATCTCAGTGGTCCTGGCCCATGCTCTGGCGCCGGCTGCAGCTTGCTTTTCGACTTTGCCTCTTTGCTTCTATTTTCTGCACTAGTTTTCTGGACTGGTATATCTGTAAACCACTTCCTGAACTTCATCTTCTGTGTTAGCTCTCTCAGTTTGCATTTCTTTTGAGCTAATCTCTCTACCTCCAGCACTGGCTTGGTTAATTGCTTTACAATCTCTAGTCTTTTCTACAGTAAATTCTAGCAGGGGAGCAGATGCTTTTAATATCATTTCCCCTTCTGATTCAGGCTTCGTTTTCTCACCTTTGTCTAAAACCTTTACATCTGTTTGATACCCATTCTGCTTGCCTTTCACCTGATTTAACTTTGGGTGTCTCAGGGGCTTCTCACTACTCTGCTGGTTTTGTTTGTTTGCTTTCTCTACCTTTGAAATCAAGGACGTTTCCTGGGATTGTTTAATCTGCGATGCTGACTCATGGCAACCCTATAGGGCAGGGTAGAACTTCCCTGTGGGTTTCTAAGACTGTCACTCTCCATGGGCATGGAGAGCCTCATCTTTCTCCCAGGGAGCAGCTGGTGGTTTCGAACTGCTAAGGCTACCTGAAATTAGATGTAAAAAAAGACAGTCCCTTCTGTCACCAGCTTCTCTTCAGTTGAGATAGATGGGGAATTAACACAGGTGATCTTTCTGAATCCTGTAAAAGGCTAACATTTAGAAGTAATGCGGAATCCATTCCTTGGTGAAGCAACATCTTCTAAGTCCATTATAAGTATAAGAGTCCAATGGATTTTAATGGAATCGTATTAAGAAGTATCGATAAAACTACCCTTAGCCAAGTTGGTTGTTGTATCAAAGATATACACTCAGTTATCTGGAATGATATTAGAATCTATTCCTCCTGGACCCCCAAATAGCCCCTGAAGTCTTCAAGTCAGCCTGTCTGCCTGAGAGGGGTGCCAATGGTTGTACAGCTGCAAGAACATAATCAGTATCACGGAATTGTACACCTAGAAACTGTACTATGTATGCTCTGAACGAAGCAAAACTAGAAAAATCTTCCCTTTACAAAAAAGGAAAGACAAATAAAGGAGTGCCATGAAGTGTAACCATTCCCTTATTGGGCCTCAGAACCCGAGGTATGCGTCAGAATGGACTGATGGTGGGGGGTTGGGTCTGGGTTTAAAACATGTTGTTTAGAATGGATTTGTTTTCTATACACTTGTTCTCACTGGCAATTGAGATAGTTTATTGTGCCAACCTGGCCGATAAACACACACGTGGGGTTAATTGAAGGGCGGAGGGATAAATAGCTCAGTGAGTCTCGTCTTTTGAGTTCTTGAGTTTGTTGCTCTCTGATGGTCGGACCAGGGTTTAATTGCATTAGCCAGTT